ACACAGTAACCGGGTGGTTGCATGCTCTTCTGACAAGGATCCGGGCTGATAGAAGACAATGCATTTGATTTTCCTGGGGTGTGGGGGTTCCCTCAAAGCGTGGGTGAATAGAGACAGTGGGTCACCGTGTGATGTGGTGTTTTGGTGAGGTGTAACTTTACGAGACGCTGTCAAATTGTGTTCCAAAGCGACACACTGTTGCATTTTTACCAACAAAGCTTGAGGGTTCCACCTTGGAGCGGGAGGCTCTTTCCTGTGGAAGTCCATTGCTTGCACTCCAGCGTTTCCAGTCTTTGTCTTCATTTCCCAGTTGCCTGTCATTCTTTGTCTAGGGTTTAGGCCCCATGAGCATTTTACCCATTCAGTGTTAAGTCACAACTCACCGTAACCTTCTTGTCCTTCTGGCCTTTGCTGTCTTTTTACCGCATCTTCCACAGTAACTCCTGAGTCTGCTGTGCAAAAATGTGTTGTACATGAGCCAGCTGGGACTGGACATCACACATCTCCTGATCTCTTAGTTGTGGTTTTCTCTAATGGTCTCTCTTGCAAAGAGAAATTTGTTTCATAAGGGGTGAGAACTATACTCATCTGAGGATGTAAGAATAAAAATTTATAGTTAGGAATTGTGCTGGTTTAGGAAACTCTGTTTAAACCATTTTAAATCTCAGAGCAGCACCTGGCATGAAGGTAAAGCTTTAATCCCAGCATATGGGAGGCAGAGGAAGGAGGATATCTTTGTGAGTTGGAGGTCAGACAGAGTTATATAACAGACTCTGTCTCAAAAAATAAATTCTAGCCAGGCAGTGGTGGTGCACGCCTTTAATTCTAGCACTCGGGAGGCAGAGGCAGGCGGATCTCTGTGAGTCCGAGGCCAACCTGGTCTCCAGAGTGAGTATTAGGACAGCCTCCAAAACTACAGAGAAACCCTGTCTTGAAAGAAAAAATAAATAATCTAAAAATCATAGAGAAACATGTATACATAATTGGCTCAAATGCTCTGTGGTAAGAATAGCAACAGAAGAGCTGGTGGGGTGGCTCAGTGGATAAAGGGGCTTGCCCCGAGCCTGATAACCTGAATTCAGTTCATATATTTATTTACGGAATGAAACAGATTGAACTGGAGGACATTTAACTACTTGAAGTGAGTCAGACACAGAAAGATGAAATAATTGTCAATCACTTATAGATAGCACCACACATTTAGAATATCGTATCAAATTGTGTAATTAATATCAAGAAATTATGAAAGCAAGTAATAGATTTTAAGATTAGGAAAAGGGGAAAGGCTGGAGAGAGGGTTGGGCAGTTAAGAACACTGGCAGAGGACCAGGGTTCAGTTCCCAGCACCCACATGGAGACTTACAGCTCAGTGCCACAGGATCTGTTGCCCTCTTCTAGATTCTAAAGGTATTGCAGTCACACGGCACACAGACATACATGCAGGCAAAGCATCCATGCACATAAAATGAAATAATTTTTAAAAAAGAAAAGTAAAAGGGCAAGATAGTCTAAGTTTTCTTCCTTTTTCTTTTCAGAAAGAATCTCAGAGTTAAAGCGAGAGAGTGGCCAGTTCAACTAACAGACTTTAAACTGTTTAAATGGGGGAAGGTAGACAAGACTTATCTGTCATAAATGAACCCTGATAAGTCACAAGACTTTAGGCAAATCACTTTTTGAGTTACTGAGTGAGAATCCAACCACTTAGTATTTCCCAGGTCTTTAGCCCAGTGCCTGGCACATAGTAAGCACTGAATAGACAGTGTCTTATTTTATTTTTTTTAAAGATTTACTTATTTATTATGTATACAGTGTTCTGTCTGCATGTATGCCTGAACACCAAGAGGGTGCCAGATCTCATTACAGACGGTTATGAACCACCATGTGGTTGCCGGGAATTGAACTCAGGTCCTCTACAAGAGCAGGCAGTGCTCTCAACCTCTGAGCCAGTCTCTATTTTTGATATGGTTCTGATGCTGAGTAACAAGCGGGCTGGCGTCAGCAGTTGGCAGGCCTGAGTTCATCAGCAGGTCAGTTCCTGAAAGCAATTTGAGGAACTGTTTCTCAGTTATTCATGTTTGGGGGAATTGTTTGTCTTAATTCTTGGAACTGCTCTTTTTGGGGGGAGGGTCAATTTGGTTTTCTGCTAATTGATACTATACGTGACCTTGGACAAGCTGGTTAACATCACTGAGCCTTTGGGAATGTAGGAAGAATGTTAGCCAATGAAATGAGTGCAAAGCACTTAGATGGGACTGGTACGGGGACCCAGTCTAGCACAGGGTCCCAGCCTTAGTCACTGTGCCACACTCCTTCTTAATAAGTGTATACAGGTTGGGTGTGGTGGAACACAACAAGCTGAGGCAGGGGGATGACTACCTAGCAATACTCTGCCAAAGTAAAAGGATGCAGGAGGCCGGGGATGGGGACACAACTTCCCCTGTCATAATACCTATATCAGCTCCACACTGATTTCTAGGGACACTTTGCCTATTAACTTGTATAATCTGATATTGATAGACAGAAGACCGTTATTACCTGGAATCCTCAGGACACCCCCTCCCATTTCAAATCTAAGATGTAGAATGAATCTGTGATTACTTGATAACAAATTAAGTTGATAAAAGCCTTCAATATATATTGATGACACAAGGTGATGATGGACTTCCCATGGTTTCT